GTGTTCCTGAATAAAGCCTCTTGCTGTTTGCATCTGACTCGTGGTCTCGGTGTGATCTCTGGGCGAGGGTCTCTCCAGAGGGAAGACTGCCTTCGGGGGTCTTTCAGGATGCCTGGGTTTTCGTGCTTGTTTTTGGCTGGTTTTTGAATGCCTGAGATCACATGTTCCGCGTGCCTGGCTAACAGCTTGGTTATGCTCCCCAGCTGCTTCGGCTCAGAATGTGACGACAGAGAAAGTTATTTATGCTGTTCTACCTTGCTATAAACAAGAACAGCAAAGAAATCTGGTATGGTTTAAAGACCTAAAAAACTTACAACTCCAGATCTAAACTGCCCTGGAAAACACCATGTGGTCTGCCATGGTGAGGGTGACCACGTGGACAGGTGCCATCTTGGCTAAGGTTAAAAGAGAGTCATGACCTCACTGCCATCATTAGTAAGGGTGACGGCATGGAGATGGGTCCACCAGGAGACATCAGGTCTCCACATTATTCTGAACTGGATAGATTTCTACGTGATAATTCCTGTCCTGTCCTAAAAATAAGGTTTATGAAAGATAGGATTTAAAACAATGCTGGTTTGCTGAGATATTAAAGCTCTGCCTCTAATTCTTGCTGGCAGCCAGATTTTGTAACCTAAGATTAAGCCCACTAATATTGAAACTAAATTGTTTGCAATGTTAAAACTTGGTTTTGCCTTTTATATCTTGGGACCATGGCTAAACACCAGAGACTGAGATATTCCTATTTGAGATGCTCAAACAGTCTGGCAAAGGGTCTCTCCTTATCTAAGGTCTGTTTAGGCTAACAAACACCAACTTAAGAATATATGCCTAACCTCCTTGCTCTTACTAACATTGGTAAACTGTAACTAATTGGGTAAACTGTATGTTTAGACTTAACCAACATATGCCCTCAAAGTTAAACCTAAACAACATTTGTCTAATTTAGATATACCTAACAGATTTTGTTCCCTCATTCTCAAACACTCTCTAAGATCTGAGAATATGGCATCTAATAGAAAAGCTTTTTGTGAGAGACATGCCAACTCCTGGAAGCATCCTGTATCTTCTCCAAGAAGATGGACAGCCACAGAAGAACTTCCCCCTGGAGGCTTGCTTTGAGTGTGGCAATGCCAGCTACTGAATGAAAAAAAACAAACAAACTGGCTTTCACTTCAACCGCTGCCTAGATCCTGCCTGGACTGGATAACAGGGCACTGGGGGATCGATTACCCCAATCTGCGAAGTCAAGGTGGGTCAGTCTCCCGAAATTTCTACTCCACAAAGAATCTCTCAGTTCCTCTGCTCTCGGCATCTGAACAAGTGCTACCTCTGGGACTTGTCCCACAGTGACCACGGAGAGACTTGGGACTGCCTGGGTAACTGGAAAGCTGGCTCACTCCTGCTCATTTACTTATCCTTCTCAGATCTGATGGAGTTTGATGACTAGGGTACTAAGAGATTTGCCAGTTTAACAGCACCCCCAATCCCAAGGCTACAAGCACCTTAGTAGCTCATTAGTACATTTCCTGTTAAAAATACAGACAAGTGTGCCTCGTAGATAAGCTTCATAGTCCAAGATTAACAGGTTTCAGATATAACTTCAGAGGTTCAGAGTTTTAAGTTCCCTGTGGTTGTCCTGAATGTTCATGCCTTTTAACCGAAAGCCATGGCCTTTGCTATGACACCAAGATGTAAATCTGTTCCAGCTGTCTTACAGACACCTGCAGGCTCCTAGGGAAAGTTCTGCTACCACATCAAAAAGTCTAGTCTGGTGAAAACTAAGTCTGCAGAGCCTGTTTTGACCCCACCCATTTCCGAGCATATTTTGCAGGTCCACCTCTCTTGCCAGACTTGTGCCAAGGCCAAACCCTCAGGGGCCCTCCAGATATGCCAGCCCCTGCACCAGCTCTGAGGGCACCAACCGGGCGAATACTGCCAGGTTAACTTCACCCACGTGCCTGCTCATAAAACTCTGTCCTCTCCTGACCTGTTGACACTTTTTGAGGATGGATGCACTCCCAACCTCCAGGGAAACAGCAGATGTGGTGGCTCCTGTACTCCCGATTTGGAGTGCCATTTCCCCCAAGCTCCTGGAACATCTGGTACCACCTCTCCAGACTCAAGAGCAAATCTGCTCCTCTGTCTGGCTCATTCACCCTTGCCTCTTCTGTACACCAGAGCACTTCTCCGTCCCATCCTCTCTGGCAGTCATCACTTTCCCTATGGCTAGCCCTGCTCATGAGGCCAATGACAACAATCTATTTTTCTCCTCACAACCTGCCTTCTCTGCTCTCTCAGGGAACAGATGCCTGAGGTCTCCAGGACCACAGCTAACTGAAAGCTCCTTCACTCACACCTCCCACTGTGTGTGAGCCCCGACTTCCCCCTTCCCACTTCATCCCAAGTCAGCAGGAAGCAGTCTTGAGAACTCGGCACCCCTCATTCCCACCTCACTTGCTATCCCTAATTCACCTTTTTATAATCAACAAAAGGAGGAATTGTTAGCATTTGGGCATTACCTGGCCAGCCCCTTGGGGACCTAGCCAGTAAGCAGGCAGTACCTTGGCCCACTCAGGGTCCTGACAACGTCATCCTATGTAGCCCCTCCCATCTACGCAGCCCTGCATACACAATACCCCCTTAAGAGGAGGCCCCGCCCACCTTCCTCTCTCTTCCCCCAATAACATCCTCTACATGAGTGCTGTCTATACAGCACGTCTCTCTCTCACCCAGGGGGCCCCGTGGCCCCAATCTGCCAAGGCCACTGCCCACAGTTTTTAATACAACAGCATCTCCTTGGAAAAGTCTTTCTTGTCACATAATGCGGGGTGTGCGTGTATTTGTTCAGGCTCCCCCAGGAATAGTGCCGCACAACCAACAATATGTGTATGCGTGTGTATCTGAGCGTGTGTGCTGATGTTCGTGTGTTTATGTGTATGTACATGATGTTTATGTGCTTCAGTGTGTAGTCTCTGTGTACACATATCTGTGTGAATGAGTGTATGTGTGAGTGTGTGTGTGTGTACAGGTGCACACGGAAACCAGAGGTCAACACCTAGTCTTACTCAGCTGCTCCCCACCTTGTGTTTTTAGGTAGGATCTCTCACTGAACCCAAACTCCCTGACTGGCTGGGCCGGGGCCAGGGACCCTCCAGTCTCTGCCTCCCCACTGCTGGGGAGCCACCACCTCTAGCCTTCCCATGAGCTCTGGGGGTCAAACTCAGGTCCCCATGCTTGTGAAGGACGGCTGGAGAGGGGCCAGAGAAGCCCCCAGCCTCACCGACCTCTCCTCTGAGAAGGGGCTGTTACAGGGGTGAGCAAAGCCGTCCAGGCCACACGCTGACCTTGAGGTTTGCTCAGCGTGTCATGTGGTCCCTGCATAAGGACCACAAGTCACTTACAGTATCCATGTCATCTACAGGAATGGCTCCTGGGATGGGACCCACACGGGCACCATCCCAACACAGAGGTGCTGCTCCGTGGTGTAGATGTGTGTGATCATGTCTGAAGCTCAGGCAAGCACACACCTCACCCCACAATCCTTTTTCAAATTTTATGTGTAAGGACTTTTTGTTTGCGTGTATGTCTGTGAACCACACGAGTGGCTGGTTCCCATGAAGGTGAGACAAGAGCATCAGATCCCAATCTGATGTACTTACAGACAATCCTGAACCACCACACAGGTTCTGGGAATGGAACCAAAGTCAATGGAAAAGCAGCCAGTGATCTTATCCACTGAACCATCTCTCCAGCCCCATATCTTTTTTAAAAAAGCATTTGTGTGAGCCGGGCAGTGGTGTTACATCCCTTTAATCCCAGCACCTGGGAGGCAGAGGCAGATGGATCTCTGTGAGTTCAAGTCCAGCTTAGTCTACGGAGTGAGTTCCAGGACAGCCAGGGCTACACAGAGCAACCCTGTCTTGAAAAAAACCAAAAACAGAAAAAGAAAAAAGTATCCGTGTGATTAGTTTAGTCAACTGACACTCTTGAGAATCGCCCGGGAAAGCTTCAGCAGGGAACCATCTAGATCGTGTGTCTTGCAGCATGTCTAGGCTGTGGAATCACCCACCTCGGTTAACCCTCCCCCTTAGGTTGCTTTTGCCTGGATAGCTTATCCTACGCCAGAAACTAGATAACATGTAAGCGAGCTTCCCAAAGGGCTAACCCCAAGTTGTCACCTAAGTGACTGAGCTCCAAACTGCCGGCCACCGTTCTTCACACCCAGACAGGAAGAACGTGACGGCCAAGACGGCCAGGCGGCCCTGCTGGATGAGGCGTCCACCCCCCTCCCCAGTGCTCCCTGGCCATCACAGACCTGGGGTGACGTCCGCGCCTTTCTCCGGTTCCTCCACCTTCTTTTCTTGAGCCATCGGTGGTTCAACCTTTCCAGGTTCACAAGGAGCATTCGTCACAATGCTGCATGGCCACAGATGAACCAAGGAAGGAAACAGATTAAGTTTGGCAAGGACAGCAGAGGGGCCAACCTCTATCCACTGGTGATGTCTGCCTAGACCCTTGCTCGGGATTGCTTAGTTATTCCTGTCTTGGTCCCGGAGGATTTCTAAGTTAGAGGGTGTCCAATGGCGAGGTTCTCCCAGACTCTTCCTCCCCTCTTTCCCTGTTTCTTCCATCCCTCTTTTCTCTTCTTTTTTCAAAATTATTATTGGTCCATCCAGACAGCTCATAGGTAAACACTCACAGTCAAGACTGACGACCCGAGTTCAATCCCTCAGACCCACATGATAGGAGAGAACGGACTGCCTCAAGGTGTCCTAAGACCTCTACACATGTGCATCCACAGGCACAAATACACACAATAATAATAGTAATTTTTAAAGATCTGTGGGTAGACATAGGGTGCCTGCTGTGACCACAGCTCTCTGGAGGGCTGTGATCAGAGTCAAGAGCAGCTGAGCAATGTAGTAGGGCCTGCTCTTGAAAAATAGCAATAATCAAAACATTTTAATTTTCCACAAGGTTAAGAATATAAAAGACTGCAGGCGCACACCTTTAATCCCAGCACTCGGGAGGCAGAGCCAGGTGGATCTCTGTGAGTTCGAGGCCAGCCTGGTCTACAGATCAAGGTCCAGGACAGCCAAGGATACAAAGAGAAACCCTGTCTTAGAACGAAACAAAACACGGTGCAAAAGCAAGGTCTGAGCAGATGTTTCTGAGGGTAAATGTGTGCTGTGTAGGCACAGGACCCAAGTGTGAAACACCAGTACCCATGTAGAACCCCGGGTGTGGTGGTGTGAGCCTGGAGCCCCAGCTCCGGAGAGGCAGGCACAGGGGCATTGCTGGAGCTCACTGGCACCCACCTGACCCACGCAGCAAGCTTCTGGTTCTGTGAGAGACGCTGTCTGAAAACACAGGGTAAATGGTGCCTGAAGGACGGCACCCCAAGTTGACCTCTGGCCTCCACACGCATACACAAAGGGGACTTCAGACGCCCTTTGTATGCAGGAGACAGTGTGCTCCCACAGACTCCAGGACAATGCACACTGCCACAACACCCACGTGCAAGTCGGGTGGCCCCGCCTTCTACCTCACTTGACACTGAGTGCGCAGGTGCCGGGGCTGCCGCAGGGCCTCACCGTGTCTGTCTTTTATGTGGGTCTAGGAACCTCAAGTCAAGCTTCACATCCATGCAGCAAGTACAGGAGGATCAGGAGTTCCAGGCCATCTTCCTCCGTGGGGAAAAACTAAACCGCTGCCTTCCCAAGAGTCAGTTCTGTTCTGAAACGGTCATGGGTCCCACGCAGGGCTTGTCTCGGGAACCTTACCAAGCGTCACCCTTCACAGGGTGCCGCTCTGGCCAGAGTGGCCAGGTGTCACAAACGGAGACATCTGGTCACCAAGGTACTTCTCCTTGCACAGAGCTGGTCAGCGGCAGGTCGTCCCAGAAGCAGTGGTCACCCCCTCAGTCTAGCCAGGGTGATGGAGATGGTGGAGGGGAGGACAGAGGCAGATGGTTTTCCCCCACCCCACAGACCTTCTGCCCCATTCAGGCTTCTGGAACCTTCTACTCAGGCTACCCCTTGTGACATCACTGGCCATCCTCCCTGCACCCCGCCTCAGGGGGAGAGTGCTGGCAGGGGAGGGGGAGCATGGGCTCCCTGCACCCATCATTCACCCATTCATTCACTCACCAACATATTTATGCATCTAGTCACCCCATCAATCACCCATTCATCCACCCACTCATTCATGCGTCTGTGTGTGTCTATGAGGTTTTTGTTGATGTTGTTTTTACAGCTCCAGTGCTGGGCATTGTGCTTTACACTGGATAGAAATATGAATGAAACCAGACAGGCCATTCATACCTGTGGGGTGTCCTAAAACAAAGCAACCAAAAAACACACACCAACAAACACACACACACACACACAAAACCCCACCACCGTGCCTGGAGCTGCAGGCCAGTGGGTGGCGCTTGCACAGCATGCACAAGGCTCTGGGTCCCGTCCCCAGTGTGCGCGACACTGTGGAAGACGGAGGCAGGAGGATCAGGAATTCAAGGTGATCCTTGGATACATAACGAGTTCAAAGGCAGTCCTGGCTGCGTGAGACTCTTCCTCGCACAAACACGCATTCACACTGTGTAGTCTCACCACCATCCAGTACCAGAACCTTCCGTCTCCCCATACTGAAGCTCTACCCCAGCTCAGTACTCAGTCCCAACCCCCAAACCCTCCCAGGTCCCCACCAAGCATTTCCTGGGTGTGACTTGCTCTAGGGTGGGCCCCTGGGGGACGTGCTCTCATCTGGAAAATTTCACCGTGTGCTCACGGTTCCTCCTTGCTGGGGTGGGTGCCCACTGTAATGTCCTCCTGCAGGCTGGAGAGCCCACACCCTCCCTCCCTCCCTCATCTGTCAGCGAGCAGGGCCCAAGAGCAGCTGTGCTGTGGATATCGCTCTATATAAATAAAACACTGATGGCCAGTGACCAGGCAGGGAGTATAGGAGGGACAAGGAGAGAGGAGAATTGGGGAAACAGGAAGAAGGGGAGAGACACTGCAGCCACGGCCAGGACAAGCAGCATGTGAAGACACTGGTAAGCCATAAGTGATGTGGCAAGGTATAGATTTATAAAAATGGGTTAATTTAAGATAAAAGAACAGTTAGCAAGAAGCCTGCCATGGCCATACAGTTTATAAGTGATATAAGCATCTGAGTGATTATTTTATACGTGGATTGTGGGACTGCGGGGCTTGGGGAACCTGGAGAGAAGCCCTCCAGCAACACAGCTGCAGTGTGAATATGGATTTGTGACATCTCCGAGTTCCTTCTTTCAGTGTTTTTTGACAAATGCCCTTGAGGGAGGCTCGAGATCACATGGTCATTCTAGTCTTAGTATTTTGACACAAGGTCTTGCGTTGGCCAGCCTGTCCATGGGACGATGGAGTCCCTCGGGCTACCAGGCCAGAGCCCGGAACTTTGCCACCAGCTCTTTGGGGACCAGCGTCTTGGGAGCTCCCTGGCTGGTGGTACTTAGGCATAGTCTCTTCTGCTGCACCTGTCCTTGCCCCCCAGAGCCAGCCTCTTGAAAAGGGGCATTGGGCCACATTGCCACTGTGGCCCTGGCTCACGGAACACAGTGATGTCACAAGGGCTGGACTGTAGAAGGGAATGTTCTGGAGGACATCCAGTCTGGGTGCTCCTTGTCTCTGTGGCTAGAGCAGGGGGTGGTGACAGAGCTGGACAGGAGTGGGTCCTGCCCTCCCAACGATCAAGCAGTGGAAGCCTGTGGAGGAGACCGAGGGCTGAGGGCCTCGTGGGCCCCAGCCTCTCTCAGGAAGTGCCTGGGAGCAGTACACTAGGCTCGGAAGGTTCTGAGAACCCTGTTCTCGTCTCCCTCCTTCCTACTCCCCTCCCTGGGGTCGCTTGTGGTCCAGGCCACCCTTGAACTCACAAGCCACACACACCCGAGGGTCTAGTTCAGTTCCCACACCCAGGTGAAAGCTGGGTGTGTCAGCATAGGCCTGTGAGAAGAGGGTCCCTGGTCCTCCAGGCTCGGGTGGGGAGGGGTGCTGAGGAAGGCATGCGCCTGCGACCTCTGCCCTCCACACGCCTGCACACGCCACGCGCACAGGAAATGTCCTCACTAACACCCAGCTTGTTTTGCCTCCTGTAACCAGCACCCACGGCTGGGTCTGCAGGTTCCCATCTTTGCTGGGCCAACTCGGCCGCCGTCCACTACGCGCCCCTGAACCCCCCGACCCCTGGAACCCGTGTGAACACCCGTGTGCCTGCTCCCTGTCGATGACATGTCTGACCCTAACGAACAGAGTGGCGCCAAGTCCTTCCTGACAGCACAAACCATCCTGAAGACCAAGCTTTACAGCAAAGCGCTGAAGAGGACGGCAACACAAGCCCCTCACCCCTCGGAGACAATGGCCCCAGGTGGGAGGCCCCTACCCTGCCCGGGCTTCGGGACCAGCTTGGGGGCCTGGGGGGCCCTGCCGCTGCAGCACACTGCAGGGGAGGAGCGCTGCGCCCAGAGCGTGGGGGGCCCGTGGGGGCCAGGGCCTTGTGGCGGGGCAGGTGTACCAGGGGGAGGATGGTACCTGTGGCCACCAACCATCCCTGCCGGCCGCGTGGCCCTGTGCACGCGGTCACCCTGGCTCCATGCCCTCCTTCCTGCGGGTCGGGGCATCACCCCTGGCCCGGCCCGTCCTCTCGGACGTCCTCGGTCCTCCAGTCCTCACGGGGGAAATGACCTCTGGGCCCCTGTCTTCCTGTCCCGGGGACTGTGACGCCGGTCCTCCCGGGAACCCCATCCCTCCTCCCGACCCCGCCGCCGCCCGCCGCAGGCAGCTGCTACTGGACCACGGAGCGCGACGGGGAGGTGAAGCTGCGCCTGGGCAAGAACTCGGAGGACGAGCCTCCCACCACGGTGCCCGACCTGATCATGAGCGCTGCCACCAAGTACTCGCACTGCCTGGCGATCGGCTCCAAGTACAAGAAGAGCTGGCAGCTGCTCACCTACATCGAGTACTACGAGGCCTGCCGCCGCGCAGCCAAGGCCTTCCTCAAGGTACCGCGCCTGCGCCTGCGCCTGCGCAACCGCGACGCCCTGCCTGCCCGCGTGCAGGCACGCGCGCACGAGCGAGCGAGGGAAGGGACCGCGTGACTTGACCACTGCCTGGTGCTTCGCTTCTGGTTACTCATTCGCACCACTGAGCATCATCGCACCGCCATTAGTCACGTGGATTCCTTGCCACTCTGTGCCTCAGTTTCCCCATGTACAAGGTTCATTCTGCATACCAACGTGCATTAATGCGTGTGTACTGAGACCTCGAGGATAGCTTTACATGTTTCTGTATTACATATATATTTTATGTATTCTAATGTTGTATGTGTATAAAATGCAGAGTTTTATCAGGTCTACCACATGTATACGGAGTCGTATCATACAGTTAAATATATTCATATACTATTGACATCTAGGGTGTGCATATTCATAAATATGAAAGCCTTCACACGGGGCACATGTGTTATGTGCATACTGTATGCTTTCCTACATGCAATATATACAAGTAAGGGCTGGAGATGTGGCCCGGCGGTTAGAACGTTGGCTGCTCTAGCAGATGACCAGGGTTCAATTCCCAGCAACCCTGTGGCGGCTCACAGCTGTCTGTCACTCTAGCTCCAGGGGACCCGCCGCCCCTTCTGGCCTCTGTGGGTACATGTGGTGCAGTCACAAATGTAGGCAAAACATCCACATACACACACACAAAAAAATCTTTTAAGAAAGAATGAATTCTTTGAAAAGCACTCGGCCCATGCATGACTGAGCGGGTCCGGTGAGTTTTGCCAACACAGCCATCTCCCAGGCCCCCCTTGCCCTGTCTTTCTGGCTACCGGGTGTCGTGATGGCATCTTTGTTGGTTGGTTCCATGGGAAGCTACCATTCCACCCTCTGGCGTTTGTTGAATAAATGAATTTTTAATATGCCCACCCTTCAGATTAGGGAAGGGCATAAAAAAAGAAAGCTGAAGTGACTTGTCCAGTCAGCCTGTGAAATAAGGTCAGGATCAGTGATCCGGAGCCTGCTGGAGAAAGGAGGAAAAGAGCAGGAGGTAGGGGTGGACTTTTAAAGTGTGGTGGCCAAGGAAGGGTTGACAGACAGTAAAATTTCAACCAAGTGGGGGAAGGAGCCAAGGGCACAGAGCATGCAAAGGCCCCGGGCCAGAGGGCACATTCTCTGCAAAAGATGCAGCTTGATGAGGTGGGAAAGCATCAAAGATGGATAGTGCCTGGGTGGGTGGATGATTGGATGGGTGGTGGGTGGGTGGATAGGTGG